GGCATGGAGTGGGGTGGGGGGCTTCAGGCATCAGAAAAGCCTCCGCAGCCTGGCTAGTGGAGGGGAGGGAGAGGCACCCCAGCCGGCTCGAGAGCCCCAGCCCTCTCCTCACTCCCCGACCACAGCACGCGCGGGGCGCCCCATTCCCCTCCAGGCCTGTGTCCTCTTGCCCTGGGCCCCTGCCTCTGCTGCTCATGCCACTCTGTGCTGACCACCTTCTCCAAACCACTGCCCTGACTTGGGCACAGAGCCTGAGGTCTGGGTCCTCCACTTTGGCTCTGTTCAAAAGCCTGCACTGGCTCCCTGGTACCTAGGCGGGCCAGATCCACATTCTCGTCCAATAGCCAGACTCTCTAGGACATAGGAATTCGCTACACTCCAGTTCCTTAGGTGAGTACCTACCCTTCCCTCCCGCAACCGCCCATGGGCTGTTCACCACGCTGTTGCCAACATCTAAACTACTCTAATCCTGCCTGCCCAGCCAGTTATTAAGTTACTGACTCTCAGCTCCAAACCCATCCTTCTATGCCTGGCTGTGTGGTGCTGGGGTGGAAACACCACACAGCCAGGTGTTTTGGGGAGCCAGGGGTTCCACGCCAGGTCCAGTCAACAGGGGGCTTAGGAGAGTCGCTGACACCCCAGACCAACGTGTCTCAGCTGCCACCGTCTCTCCTTTTGACCAAAGGTGACCTCTGCCCAGGCCCTGTCTCTCCTCAGCCCTCTCCTTAGGGCTGCAGACCCTTGACCACTCACCTGGGAAGCCCTTCACCTGGGTCACTGTCCACCTAACTGCTTCTTAGCACTGGGCCTCAGCTGCCAATGTCCTTCTGAGACCCAGTTAGGCCCCCTGCTGTTAGCTCCCACCACCCCTGGTGCACCAGGCACCTAATAAAATGTTTGTGAGGGAGAAGAAAGAAGAACTCTGCTATCCCCACAGACTGGGTAAGCTGCAGCCCCTTACCTAGCAGGTATTAGCTTTGTGTCACCTGAAAGGATGAACAGACACACACAAAGAGTGAATGCAGGGAAAGACATGTGGCAACCACCCAGGTGCAACTTGGGAGCAGACTTCCTGTGAACTGGAAACATCCCAGAATGTGTTCTTTTAGATACTGGGCTGTTCAACCCTTAGAAAATCCATGAAACTATGCAGAAATTTCAAGGGAGAACTGAGATTTGGTGCAGGACAGTCAGCCTTGGGAATCCAACAAGTCTAGGCAGAGACACAGAGAAGACATTGCCAGGATCAGGTGGCATGAGCCGAGGCATCGGTACAGGAAGGAATGCCTTCTGTAAGCCTCCACCGCAACCTCAGCCCTCTGCTAGAAAGCTTGGGAATCAGTAAAGCTGTTCCTAGCTCTGTAACCCAATGTCCTTCTGAGACCCAGTTAGGCCCCCTTAGGCTTAGGCTTAGAAAGCTTGGGAATCAGTTAAGCTGTTCCTAGCTCTGTGACTCTGGACAAGTCAATGACCTCACCTGAGCCTCAGGACCCTCATCTGTGATGTGGTAGCAACAGAGCATAATCTCATAAGCTGTCAAAGTTAAGTGAGATAATAAACATAGGCCACTCAGCCCATGGCAAGCATAGAGCGACAGGACTGTGAAAGCTGGCTGCCATCAGAAAACAACGGGCTGTTTATGTAACTCTCATTCAACAATGTTCCCAGACACCTTCTATGTGCCTGGCTCAGGGAAACTGTAGGAAGCAAGAAAGATAGCTCCTGCCCTGGAGGCACAGGGAGACAGATGCCTTAACCAGCTGTGAACTGGGGGAGTCCAACAGAGATCTCCCACCTGCCCAAGGCATTCTGAAGGCTTCCCAGAGAAAACAACTTGGGTGGAATTTGTACCACCTTACTGACTACTGATGAGGAACCTAGGCACAGAGCGGCCATCTGAGGGCCAGTGCTCACCCCCTGCCCCTACTGCACAGCCCACAGAGCCCAGCAGGCTCCAGCTCAGGCCTCCTACTCCAAGTTCCTCCAACTCCCTCAAATGTTCCTGGCTTCTCAGGGTCCCAGGGCAAGCGGGGGAGCAGGGGGAGAAGAAGCAGGTAAATAGAAACTACAGAGTCCTGTAGGTGTACCAGAGCTGGGAATGGGGAAAGGCCAAGACTATCCCTGAGGGCAGGGCTGGAGGTCACCTGCAGGTCTGGAGCCCTCCTGGAGTGGCAGCTCCATCCCTGACCCCTTAGCACAAGCCATCAGCCCTGACTCTTCTCAGCCCTCTCTGAAACTGTAGTGAGTTTTCCAAACCACAGATGGGATCACTCCCTCTCCACCTAACACAAATCCCTCAGCTGCCCACTGTCTTCATGGAAAGCCCCAGCTCCAACCAGGTGTCACTATGTGTGTGCCTGTCCCAGCCTACAGGGCATCGCCTTCTTCCCTTCCCATCCAGAAAGGCCATCTGGGGGCCTGAGAGTCCCCCATCTCAAGCCCTAGTCCATTACTGCACAGGTGCCAGGTACCACAAGGCCTCTTCCCCACCTCTCAGTGCCAGATCCTCCTGGCTTGGGTCCTAGGACCCTATCCACCCTGCCCCTTTAGGGCCTCCCAGCCCCATCCTACCTGATCTTGCTCTGGCTGCCCCTGCCTGCTAAGGGGCCACCAATGTCGTTCTCCTGGCCACCATCCCGGTCACGCTCTTTCTCCTCCTGAAGCCGCTGGAGCAGCAGCTGGTGGGGAAGGCTTCTCAGCGAGGGTCCAGGAGAAGCTGCTGGTTGCACCTCACCCTTCAGGTTGATATCACTGGCCGAGCGTTGCAGGGGCCGAGGGGATGCCAAGCCACTGGGGCCAGCCAGTCGCCGCCGTTTCGCATAGCTGGGGGTTTCCCTGAATGGTACTGGGGTAGGGGGGGCATAGGTAAGACTCTGAACAGTCAGTCGGGTGACGAACTTGCCCAGTTTGGCTGGGCTGTCCAGATTTTAAAACCAAAATCCTATTTCCAGGAACTGCCACAGTTCCAGGCAAACCAAAAGAATTGGGCACCCTATGACTGAAGCTCCCACTGAGGGGCCACATTCCTGTCACGCTGCCTCTGGTTCTAGCTCCTCCTCAGCCAAACAGGGCCTTGGGGATGTTCAGGCCTGCTCTCAAAACTGCCCGTTTCACAAGCTTCAGGAGAGACAGAACAGGCTACGTGGGACAAGTCTGACCAGACTACTGCTATACAGGACTATCTGCAGTTATCTATAGCCAGGGAAACGCTAAAAAACATTCTAGATCGGGGTTGGCAAACTTTTCTGTAAAGAGTCAGAGAGTAACTACCTCAGGCTTTGCAAGCCGTATACTCTGTGTTGCAGTGGCTCAATTCTGCCACTGTAGCACAAAAGCCACCACAAACAACATATAAGCAGGTAAGTGTGTTTGTGTTCCAATATAATTTTATTTAAGAAGCAGGTGGTGATATTAAAAAATGACCCAACTATATGCTATTTACAAGAGAATCACTTTAAATGCAAAGACACAAATAGGTTGAAAGTGAAACGATAAAAAAATAGATCTCATGTAAATAGTGTCCAAAAGAGACCTGGGTGGCTATATTAACATCAGACAAAACAGGCTTTAAGATAAAAACTGTAACAAGAAACAGAGAAGTACATTATATTTTGATTGCAATTAATAACATATATGCACCAAACAACAGAACACCAAAATACATGAAACAAACACTGACACGATTGAAGGGAGAAATAGGCAGTTCCAGTCGTTCCACAATAATAGTTGGAGACTTCCAACTTTGCATACCCCACTTTCAGTAATAGGTAGAATATCTAGAAAGAAGATCAATAAGGACATAGAAGACAACCAATTAGACCTAACAGACACATAACAGAACACTCCACCCAATAACAGCAGAATACACTTGTGAATTCTTCTCAAGTACACATGGAACATTCTCCAGGACAAACCATATGTTTGGCCAGAAAACTAGTCTCAATAAGTTTAAAGAGACTGAAACCATACAAATTATGTCCTCCAGCCACAATGAGATAAAGCTAAAAATCGATGAACAGAAGGAAAGCTGGAAAATGCATAAATATGTAGAAATTAAACACCACACTCTTAAGTAACCCATGTGTCAAAAAAGAAATCACAAGGAAAATTAGAAAACACTTTGTGATAAATGAAAACAAAAATATAACATCGCAAAAGTTATGAGATGCAGCAAAAATGGTACTTAAAGGGAAATGTACAGCTGTAAACACCTACATAAAAAAAGGAAAATAATCTAAATCAATAACCTAAAGACACATCTTAAGAAAGTAGAAAAATAAGTAAGCTAGTAAAAACTAGTAAAAAAAAAGAAAAGCTAGCAGAAGGAAGGAAATAATAAGATTAGGGTCAACTCACCCATAAGCGGGCCCTAAAAAATTACCATAATACTATAAGAAAGGACTGGCAGTAGTAGAAAACTGCCAGGAGCAGGGGGGAGCACACCTCATCAATAAGGGTACCTGATCTCAAACCAGATGAAATGGGGACCAAAGTGAGGCCCAAACTTTACCTACACAATGACCATTTGTATACCTAACCCTGAATTGCACCACATATCTTTAAAATTAAATTAAATTTTTTAAAAAGATTAGGGCAGAAATAGACAAAATAGAAAAACAGTGGAAGATCAATGAAGCAAAATGTTGGATTTTTTAAATATCAACAAAATTGACAAACCTTTCATTTGTGTATTTTACTGACTAAAAAAGAAAGAAGATGAACTGGGCATGGTAGCTCATGCCTGTAATCCCAGCACTGTGAGAGATTAAGACAGGAGGAGTACCTGAGCCCAGGAGTTCAAGGCCAGCCTAGGCAACATAGTGAGACAACATCTCTACAAAAAAATTTTAAAAAGCAGCCAGGCATGGTGGTACACGCCAGCTTCTTGGGAGGTTGAGGTAGAAGGATCACCTGAGCCCTGGAGTAAGCCATGATGGTGCCACTGCACTCCAGCCTAGGTGACAAAGTGAGACCCTGACTAAAAAATAAAAATAGAGAGGAAGAGAAGATGACCAGAAATAACTAAAATCAGAAATGAAATTTGAGACATTACTATCAATATTACAGAAATATTAAGGTATGCAAGGTAATACTATAAGCAACTGTATTCCAATAAATTAGAAGAGCTATATGAGATGAACAAATTCCTAGAAAAACACAGATTATCAAAACTGACTCAGAAGAAATAGAAACCTAAACAGACCTGTAGCAAGCAAAGAGATCGAATCAGTAACCACAAACCTCTCAACAAAGAAAAGTCCACCACCAGATGGCATCACTGGTAAATTCTACTAAACATTTAAAGAAGAATGAACACTAACCCTTCTTAAACTCTTCCAAAAAAAATAAAAGAGGAAGAAACATTTTCTAACATAGCCTATGAGTCCAAAGCCAGATAAAGACATTGTAAGGAAACCAATCTACAGGCCAATGTAATATATCACATTAACAAAACAAGGGGGAAAAAACACATGATCATTTCTGCATTTGCCGTAATCCAACACCCTTTTATGGTAATAACACTCAGAAAACTAGTTACCGAGGTTAGTAACTTAATCAACATGACACAGGACATTTATTAAATGCCCACAGCTAACATCATACTCAATGGTGAAAGACTGAAAGCCTTCCCCACCTAAGACCAGGAACAAGGCAAGGATGTCTGCTTTCACTCTTGCTAGTCAACATTGTACTGGAAGTTTTAGCCAGAGAAATTAAGTAAAACAAATAAATAAATAAATGGTACACAAATTGGGGAGGAAGAAGTAAAGTTATCTCTATCTGCAGATGGCATGATCATCTATATAGAAAATCCCAACACAACTACTAGAGCTAATAAATCCAACAAAGTTGTAAGGTACAAGATCAACACATCAAAATCAGTTATGCTTCTATACACCAGCAGTGGACAACACCAAAAGGAAATTAGTAAGATAATTCCATTTAAAACAATCATCCAAAGGAATAAAATACCCCAAAATAAATTTAACTAAGTAAAAGATCTATATACCAAAAATGACAAAACATTGCTTACAGCTAACCTAAGTAAATGGAAAGATATTCCATGTTCATTAATTGGTGCCAATGCCACCCAGAGTGAGCTACAGATTCAATGCAATCTCCACCAAAATTCCCATATCCTTTTTTGCAGAAATAGAAAAGCAAGTGGGTCAGGCACAGTGGCTCACGCCTGTTAGAAAGCTGAGAGGTAGGAGGACTGCTTGAGCCCAGGAGTTCGAGATTAGCCTAGGCAACATAGGGAGACACTGTCTCTAAAAAAAAAATCAGAAAAAGGTGGCGTGCATCTGTAATCCCAGCTACTTGGGGAGGCTGAGGCAGAAGAACCACCTGAGCCCAGGAAGTCAAGGCTGTGGTGAGCTGTGGTTATGCTGCTATACTCCAGACTGGGCAACAGACTGAGACCTCAAATCAAATGGGAGGGTCGGAGGGAGGGAGGAAAGGAAAGCAATCTTCAAATCTATATGGAATTGCAAGGGGCCCAGATTAGCCAAAACAGTATCAAAACAAAGGAACAAAGAGCACCCAAGCCTCCTAAGTTTTGTAACAATTTGAAAACTGATGCCAAAGCTACAATAAAACAAACTGTGGTACTGGCAAAAGAATGGACATGTAGCTGAGCATGGTGGCTCACACCTATAATCCCAGCACTTTGGGAGGTAGAGGCGAAAGGGCTGCCTGAGCCCAAGAGTCCAAGACCAGCCTGGGCAACTTGGCAAGACTTCATCTCTACAATAAATCAAAAAATTAGCTTGGTGACATATACCTGTAGTTGTAGCTACTTGGGAGGCTGAGGCAGAAGGATCACCTGAGCCCAGCAGGTAGAAACTGCAGTAGCCATGAGCGTGCCACTGCACTCTAGCCTAGTCGGAGTGATTCCAACTCAAAAAAAAAAAAAAAAGGAATAGACATGAGACATGTAGAACACTGGGGTAGAATTGAGAGTCCAAATATCTATGACCAACTGATTTTCAACAAGGGTGCCAAGACCATTCAATAGGAAAAGAATAATCTCTTCAACAAATGGTGCTGGACAATTGAATACCCATATGCAAAAACATGAAGATGGATCCTTAACTCATACCATATACAAAAATTAGCTTAAGAATAGATCAATGGCCTAAATATAAGAGCTAAAACAATAAAACTCTTAGAAGCAAACAGAGGGTAAACCCTCATGACCTTCATTTGGCAATGGATTCTAAGATATGACACCAAAAGCATGAGCAACCAAAAAAAAAATAGATTCATTGTACTTCATCAAAATAAAAAACTCTTGTATATCAAATGACATTATCAAGAAAGTGACAAGGATCTCCTGACCTACTGAACAGAAAAGGGACACATAAATATATCTGATAAGATATATCATACACCTGATAAGAGTTTAGTATATTCAGAATATAAAAAGATCTCTTAAAATTCAACAACAAAAATAAACAACCCAATTTAAAAATGGGCAAAGGATATTTTTCCAAAGAAGACATGTAAATGACAAAAAAGTTCATGAAAAGATTCTCAGCATCATCAGTCATTAGGGAAATGCAAATCAAAACCACAATGAGATACTAGTTGACACCCACTGTTGTGGCTATTATCACAAAACAACAGAAAATAACAAGTGTTGGTAAGAGTGTGAATAAATTGGAAGCCTTGTACATTACTAGTAGGAATGTAAAATGGTGGAAAACAGTTTGGCAGTTCCTCAAAAAGTTAAACATAGAATTACCGTATGACTCCACAATTCTACTCCTAGGTATACACACCAAAGGATTGAAAACAGGTATTCAAATATATATACACACATATTCAGGGCAACAACATTCACAGTATTCAAAAGGCAGAAACAATCCCATATCCATTGATAGAGGAATAGATAAACTAAATGTCATTTATACAAACAATAAAATATTAATCAGTCATAAAAAGGAAAGAAGTAGTGACACATCCTACAGGGATGAAGCACAAAAACATGTTGAGTGAAAGGAGCCAAACACAAAGGGTCACATATTATATGATCCCATTTAAGTGAAATATCAAGAATACGTAAATCCACAGAGACAGAAAGCATGCTGAGGGTCAATCAGGTTGGGGGAGGAAACGCAGAACTGAGTGTGAACTGGGTTTTCTTTGGGGGTAATGAAAATGTTAAGATTCGACAGAATTGGTTGCACAGCATTGTGCATGTATGGAATGCCACTTAACTGTTCAAGTAAAATTGTTAATTTTCTATTATGTATATTTTGCCTCTATCTATCTATCTATCTACCTACCTACCTACCTACCTACCTATTTATTTTAGGAGGCAGGGTTTTGCTATGTTGCCCAGACTGGAAAGGAATGGCTATTCAGAGGGACAATTTCACTACTGAGCAGCCTGAGAGTCTGGCCTGCTCCACTCCCAACCTGGGCCGGTTCACACCTCCTTAGGCATCCTGGGGTTACTGCTACTGGAAGGTCACCATATTGATGCCAGACTTAGGGCAGACCCCCAATCAGCATAGCATACTGCAGCCCAGAACTCCTAGACTCAGTGATCCACTGCCTCAGCATCCCAGGTAGCTGGACCTATAGGCAATATGCTCAGCTCGCCTCAATTAAAAAAAAAAAGCAGGCTGTGGCTGGATTCGACTGGCTGAGGGAGCTGCCTCCCAAGTCATGTAGACTCCTATTATGCAAAGTGTAATCCAAGGGTCAGCAGTTTAGGCCTTACCTCAGAGCTGATTACAAATGCACTATCTCAGGCCCCAGCCAGACCCACCGAGCCAGAACCTACATTTAACAAGATTATTTCTACTGGAAAAGCACCTCACCAGGGCACTCACCAAAAGCAATGTGGTATACCAGTGCTATGAAAACACACCTGTACATGAGAAAGGGTAAGAGAGACTGTGGATCCAAGGTGACAAAGGCAAGGTAGCAGGGGTCACTGCTCCCAGGTCAGGGTCCGCACCCAAGGTCTATCGGTCTAGAGGGGGCAAATGGGACCTGCCATGAGGCAGCCAGGTGTCCTGTCTCCTGAAGGATGACAGAGTTCCAGTCTACTAGACTCCACCTGGTAGGCACCTTCCCACCTGAGCAAGATCAATGGGCCGAGCCTCCTTCCAGCTCCACCACTTTTTGTGTGCAGGCCCCACCCAGGGACGCCAGGTAGAGTGGGACATTCAGGGAGTGTCCCTACAGTGAATGTATTGGGGGTGGGAGAGTGGATCATCTGGGTCTCAATTAGTTCCCTTTATGCCTCAGTTTCCTTTTCTGTAAAATGGGCTGATAATCACTCCATGGGGGACTGGTGAGAAGTGAATGACTATAAGGGGGCTTACAGTAAAGGCTAATGAATGCATTACGTACTATATTCAGGGATGTTTGGCTGTGTCATCTGAGTGTATGTGGAACACCGGAGCAGGTACAGGAATTGGCCAGCAGAGCTTATGTCCATATCAGGGCTAACTGACACAGATGCCTGCTCTGAAATGGTGAGTCTAGCCCCAGCTGAGCCAGCACACCTGAGTCAGACTGGCAGTAAGCCAGTCAAGGGAGCCCAGGAGCCCTAGCAAATTTGTCCACATCACACAGATGAGGGGCAGCCCAGACAAGAAACAAGCCACTCCCTCCAATGGGCCACACCAAGGCTTCCCACCAGAGTCTGGCCCTGCCCAAAACCAAATGCCACAGGAGGGAAGGTGGGAAGGGGATGCAAAAACTGTAAAAGACTATGTTTCATCTAAGAGAAACTGAGACACAGAGGTCCTAAGCAGCATTCCCATAGTTAGACTATCACAGGCAGAAGAGAAGTTCCCACACATCCACAAACCAGGGTCCTCCCAGGCTAACACCACCTCCAAAATACTTCCCAGCCCCAACCAGACCATAACTATCTCTTTTCCTAACTCAAAGCACAAGGCACAGTTCTCTCCTGACCTGAACCTGGACTCCAATCCTAACCATTCCACTGGCCCAGCACTCGCCTACTGATGCTGTCTGCATGGGCAGCCATGGCTTCAACTGGAGGCTTGTCACACCCTCAGACAGTCAAACTGTTACCATGGACCTGACCCTGCTCGGGGCTCACTACCAAGCCTTGCTGGAAGGCTGTCCAAGGGAAGCTCCATAGAGGAGGGGTTCTTAAACACGAATCTGACCTTCATCTTAACCCCCATCCAAAATTCCACCCTAGCCCTGACCATAACCTCACGCCAAGTGAGATTCCAACCTTAATTAATGCCTGCCCTAGACCTTCACTACCCACTGTCACTTCAAACTAAAAACAAAAACAAAAACAAAAAATGAGGACACCCCCAAGTAAACACTCATGGCAGAAAGGGGACCTGGGAATCCATGTTTCATTAATAGCCATGGGCAGAAATGCTTGGTCCCCCCAGGACTGTGCATCTCATGGTTTTTCTTCTAGGGCCACGAGTCATGCACATGCCAGGCTTTCCTTTACATACAGGTATAGGGAGCCCAAGGCCCCATGCCCTCAGGATAGCTGCTGCCCTATGCCCAGCCTCATTCTACTTTCCCATCACTATGTTTTGCTTTCTTTCTTTTTCTTTCTTTCTTTCTTTCTATCTTTCTTTCTTTCTTTCTTTTTTGTGTTTTTTGTTTTGTTTTGTTTTTTTGAGTTGGGGTCTCACTCTGTCGCCCAGGTGAAGTACAAGGGTGCACTCACCATTCACTGCAGCCTTGATCTCCTGAGCTCAGGCGACCCTCCCGTCTTAGCCTTCCAAAGCACTGGGACTACAGGTTTAAGCCACTGCATCCAACCTATTTTGTTCCTTTGCAGGTACATGTATGATCTTGTCATTTTGAGAACACACTGTGATCACCTAAACTCACTCTTGTTCCAGGCTGAGGTGAGATGCTCCCTATGTCTCCTGGTGGCCCTTCCTGGGTTTAATGGGAAACAGGGACCCTGATCCTAAAATCCTAAACCTCAATCCCACTCTTTTTTGTTTTTTATTTTGTTTTGGTTTGTTTTTGGTTTTTGGGTTTTTTTGAGTCTCACTCCATCACCCAGGCTGGAGTGCAATGGAATACTCACAGCCACCCCAGTATCAACCTGCTGGGCTCAGGCAATCCTGCCGCCTTAGTCTTCCAAGTAGCCGGAACTACAGGCATGCTCTACCATGCCCGGCTAGTATTTTTTATTTAGTGTAATGATGAGGTCTTGCCAAGTTGCCCAGGCTGTTCTTGAACCCATGGGCTTGGGCAATTCCCTCACCTCGGCCGCCCAAAGTGCTGGGATTACAGGCTTGAGCCACTGCATCTGGCCTCAACCCCACTTTTTTTTTTTTTTTTTTTTTTTTTGAGTTGGAGTCTCACTCTGTCACCCAGGCTGGAGTGCAGTGGCATACTCATGGCCATACCAGCGTCAACCTGCTGGGCTCCGGCGATCCTTCTGCCTCAACCTTCCAAGTAGCCGGAACTACAGGTACACACTACCACACCAGCTAATTTTTGATTTATTGTAGAGATGAGGTCTCACCAAGTTGCCCAGGCTGATCTGAAACCTGTGGGCGCAGGCAATCCATTCTCCTCGGCTTCCCAAAGTGCGAAGATTACAGGCTGAGCCACCAAGCCTGGCCTTAGGCCTCACTCTTGACCTACACTGACCCCTAAGCCCAGTGGTCACCCTAGCCCATGGCCCAAAACCCTACCATGTTCCTGACCCTGATCACAGCCTCTGTTCATGTAACTCAGGCCCGCCCTCAGCACGCTCCCCATTCTTGCAGGGGCCACTAACAGACCACCGGCCACACAAAGTAGAGCGGGGGCATGCGGGCCCCTTGTGGTATCACCACTGATGCCCATACCTGCCGGGGCCCGTGCAACCACACAAACCCACACTCAGCAGGGACCCTGGGCGGGCAGCACTCACCGACATCTGAGTCTTTGTGGGTTTTGATGACCTCTGCAAGCTCAAAGTTCCCTGCGATGATAGCCACCTGAGGGAAAGGGACAGTCAACATGTGAAGGGGCAGGGAGGAGGCTTAGCAGCCCCAAATTGTCCCCCAACCAGCCTCCTCCCGCTCTGGTGCTCCTGCGCCATCTTCCTTGGTCGGGGGCCCCAGAAGCTCAGACCACTCCTCTTCTCTACTTCTACACACACCTGTCAATAACTGGGATGCTGCCATGCACGCCCTCTGCAACTAGGGTGACTCACCACCCATCTGCCTAGTTCTTTGGGGACCCAGACACAAGACTCGCAAAGCTAAACCAAAACCCGACAGTCCCAAGCAAACAGGCATGCTGACCACCCTTGCCTGAGCTTTTCCCCGTCTTTTCTGTCTTGGCCACGAGCCCCCCACCCATGCTCCCCCGCATTCTTCCAGTCCTGAGACCCTATGTACAGTCATCCCACAGGCCCTGGTGTGGGATGACTTCAGATGTGCCCTAACCCATTAGGCCCTCTACCCTCCATGACCAAATAGACACATCCCCCTGACTGGCTCGCTTGACAGCTCACTCCTACTGAGAAGAGAGCTCCAGCTCCTTCCACAGTCCCTAAATCCCCATGACATCTCCCAGCCTCCACAACTCCAGGCCACAATCAACAGATCTCATCCACCTGGTCAGCCAGGGCCAACCAGACCTGGCTGAAGAAAAGACTCAGAAACATCACCTGACTAAGTCAGGGGCTGGAGACAAATCTCTCTCCAGTTTGGCTTCTGCACCCCTGCCTGTCTCTGAGTGTTAGGCCCACACCTACCCTCCCACTCTTCTCTGCCCCTGCCCCTGCTGCAGCCCTTCTGACGCTCCTCTCTCCCTGGAAGGGGAGTGGAGGGAACCCCTGGCATCCAACACCCCTTCATGTGCTGGGCACTGCACTGTCCTGTCCCCCTTACTCCACCTCCTCCTGTGGCAGTACTGGGGGTGGTACTTCCTGATCACCTTCCAGGGAAGAAACGCAGTTCAGAGAAGTCAAGCCACACAGGCACAGAGATAGGCAACTCTAGGGGCAGCCTCATGCTCCCGGGAACCACTGGAGTACCTGGAAGGCTGTCTGGCTGTTGTAATTGCGGACATCCTTGTTGGCTCCACGAAAGAGCAGGACACGAGCACAGCTCTCCTGTTGGGAGGCAGTGGGGGGGTCACAAGTGGGCAGCCAGAGAGATGGGGGTAGGGCGCAACAGCATGTGCATATACAGAGTGCACACACAGAGGATGCAGGGCACAAGCCTCATACACACGTGGACTCATACCTGTGTGTTCAATGTACTCCTGAGTAGCACAGGGACGAACAGATGGGTATACACTTGAGGTCTCACCTGGCCCAGAGGACCTAGATGTGCCCAATTCACAACTGGTTGTTCAGAATATGCATGTGAAGCCAGGCTCAGTGGCTCAGCCTGTAATCCCGCGCC